TGGACGAAACTTTGGCAATCTCACACGTTTTCATACACCTTATATACCCGTTCATAAACTGGTACAAACCGGACTATTACAACTCACAGCACGAGAACTGAAGAAGGACGAACGGGATAGGGTGCCAAGTACAACAACATTCACCCCCATTCATCCCCTTTCACTCGTTCACCACAAGTGCTAAGTGTGGCGTGATGATTTCGATTCAAAATTGTTCTAGAGCTAAGAGAGGTCTGAACGGTTAAAAAAGTACACCATGTTAACTACACATATTGTATGTTTATTTTCATGTGATAGAAGTCGCGTGTTGTCATCAGATATTCAATGTAAAATGTTCTCTGTTTGGGGTGTTTCGACTGGGTCTTTATCACAATTAATCATTTACTAGTTCGAAAAATTATTTCAATAGTTTTGTTTATCAAAATCTACAAACAGTTTATATGTTATATTTATCAAGATATAAACATTAATCATAAGTAAAATTGGAACACCAATGCCTTTTTAACTTTATTAATTACAGCTTTGAAATGAAAAAAAAACAAGTATGTGAATTATTTTTTTACGTAGGTTTTCTTAAATCGTAGAAATTTTTATTACATTTTTTTTCTACCTTTCGTTTGTGATATCTTTATGAACACCCATATTAAAGGCCAGATCCTGATTTGAATGCAGGCAGTGCATTGTATTATATATATATATATATATATATATATATATATATATATATATATATATATATATATATATATATATATATATATATTTCCAAATGCTTAAAAAAGTCTAAGATCATTATTTACTGTTTCCATAACATCTTTTAACCGTGACTCCCCCGCCCGACCCCGGAACACAAGTCTGCAAAAAAAATGTATCGACTTATTCATTTAAATCAGGGGTCTCCAAACTACGGCCCGCGAGCCGGATGCGGCCCGCGAGGTCCTCTCATCCGGCCCGCGGAGATCTTTTTGTCCACGGAAAAAAACGTGTGTTGGTGATGGCTGAGGAACTGACCAGAAAAATCAAAGACATGTCTGGAACTAACTGGCCCCCGAACTGAATTTGATAGTTAATGCGGCCCTCGGACTGAAAAGTTTGGAGACCACTGATTTAAATCAAGAGTAGTCATGTAAAATAACTAGTATAACCATCTATAGTCTATAGATCAAATAATACACACTTAATAAAGCATTTAATAAAAAAAATATCTTCCTCTGCTTTACTTCTCACCAAAACAAACAAGGGATATCACTTCGAATGACGGTATCTAAAATGTATTTAAAACAAACTTCAAGTGATAATGTAACACACGTGAAAATGTTTGTAAATTAACACAAGTTTCGGACAATTTATATAAATGTGTTATGTTTAAATTTTAATCATCATGAACTTAATATAAAATTGAAATATATCTTTAATCGTGAGTAATGTAGTTATTTAAAAAAAATCGCTTTCTATTAATCAATTAAAAAAAAAAATTAATTAAGGGTTTGCAGCACTTGTCTCTACATTTAAATTTTCTTTTTACAGTTTGTTATTTTTAAAAAAAAAATAATAACCTAAAACCATTTTCTTGGGAGACGACAAATGGAGTAGAAAAAAAAACATTCAACATCCTTTGGATTATACTTAAGTAATAACTTGTAAGGCGCAATGACTGGTAAAAAGCGCATCGCATTGTCCAATTTTGTGAAATAGTCTTTTAAGCGCGACTGTTGTTGACTTGACAACAAAATGCCAACGCTCATGTCGACTTACGGTCCTCAGCTAATCTACATCGAACAACTCGTCAAAGTGCCTGATGTCATCCAGCCATTTCTTCCCTTGTCTATCTACACCTCCCCCCCCCCCCCCCACCACCATCGTGTCATGCAGAATTTTATAAGAAACTTTGTTCGACCGTGACAAGCGCAATACCATTTAATTTGTTTATATATATATATATATATTTTTGACAGTGCTAAGCTAAACTTTAAAACAAAATTCGTTTCGTGGTCAGTCAGATTTGTTATTAGATCCATACTAACATCATTGCAATTGTAAAACACCTTGTTCTATGACCAGCCTCTCGAGATCTTCATTGACTGTCAATGACTACAATATATACATACAGACGGACACGGCTACTGGTCGCTGAAGTTAACTAAGGTACTAAGGTTACTTAATTTTTTCTTAAACTAAGAGTTGTTTTTTTTCAATTGGTAAAAAATGTATTTTACACCTTGGAAAAAACTCTCCAATAAATCCCCATCAAATATTTTTTTTATAATTCATATAAATGTGTTATGTTTAACCTTTAATCCCCATGAACTTAATATACATTTGAAATATATCTTTAATCGTGAGTAATGCAGTTATTTTAAAAAATCGCTTAATAGTAATAAATAAAAATATTAGTTTAACACAGCTTTAAAGGCATGAACACCTGTTGTATATATAGTAATTAAATAGAGTAAATAAAATTGTATAAGACCTAGACTAAAATATGATGTGCAAACTCGGTTCCCTTTGACTGCTTAATTTACTGTGCTCCATCCTCAGCTGTGGAGTCAAAAGTTGGCATTGTAACTGCCCATGGCCATAAACAAAAATGACCGTGAGTATAGGCCTCTGCTATACTCACACTGATCTATCACTCCAAAATGTTCCATGGCGCTGAGCGTACGCTACCCCCGATACGCAACAGAGAGGCGGATTTTGAACTCACGATCTAATAAACTCAAAATATACTAACATCACGAGATATACTAAATTTACAAGAGGGACACCAGAGTTGCCTATCTTTTATTTGTATAACTAACACTTTTTTTTTCTCTTATTGTACAAACGAATAATCAAATAGGCCTACACATGTTCCCACCACAAACTGGTTGGAAAAATCAAATGGTTTCAAAAATGTAGCTTCTTTATTTTAGGAAAGTAGGTCTACCTTCAATATAGTAATATAAATTAACCTTTCTTACAATGCTCCGCCCTTTTCTCGTAAACATAAGTCTTAATTCTTCTATACAACACACCAATGTTACAAATTGATAGATTTGTATTATATTGGTTTGTTTTTGTTACTTCCCATATTATAGTTTATAAAGAAAAGGGAAACAACTTTAAACGATATTATTAAATTAATAAATAAACCAATAGCCCAGTTGAAATATAAAACTTATGCAAATCCTTGTTGATTTTGTTTTCATTTCTATAAATATTAGTAAATGTTATGTAAACTTTTTGTCTGCCTTTAAAATTGTATTGACATAAATAGAAAAAAATGTCTTTAATTAAATTACGAAACTCATAACTATGTAAGATAACTTTGCTTTAATAAAATGTATTCGTTTTTTTTTTAATCAATGGTATCTCCTCAGATTTTCGTTTCTCAAAAATGTATTTTAACTATATATATATATATATATATATAGTAGCGTACCCGACCCCCGCGCTTTGTCGCGGGGATAGAAGAAAGGTTGACGAAATATATTAGGATTTCACCAACGCTTTATCAATTATAATTATAACACTAAGCCTAGATTTAACTTAACTCTTAACTCTGTTCTCTAGGCCCCTCTAACATAAAACTGCCTTAGTCTGCCTCTAACACATTACCGTAAACATTACCTTATGTTTTTGTAGAAACCCACAATGAACTATGTAAGAAATAGAAATATGTTTTAATTTAAAACAATCCATTTTAAAATCGAAATAGAATAACATAATATCAGGAAAAGAAAATAGGAAAAGTCATTTTTTTTCAGTATGAAAAATTATTTACGCCGTGTACTGTTTTGCAAAACACTTACCTATACTTACTGTTACGATGTCCACCAATTACGTAGCTAATAAAGTCATTGGTTTCATTGTTAAACTAAAACTGATATTTTATCAAGAAATCGATAAAAATATAAACTATGGGTCGTCGTGGTCGAGTCGGTAAAGCTAATGGCTGCTAAACCGAAAAGTCTCGAGTTCGAACCCTCGGGCAGATGAGGCTCGTTAGCTGGGGACAGCCACTCTTCTAGGAGAGACAACTCCAAAATTAAACAACTGCTGCCTTGTAGTTTGTTCTTGGTTGGTCAAAGGCTATGGAAGCAAATTCAAAAAGAAAAGCAGGCTGAAATCGGAGTCAATGGCCTCAATGGCGCATAACCAGTTGACACGTAACGCTTAATTGTATTGGAAGCGTGGTCGAGTCGGCAAAAAGCTCATGGTTGATAAATTCGAACAAAGTCTCGAGTTCAAACCCACTGGCAGATAAATCTCGACCCCCTTCAACACTAATAATGCGCACACGTACACACATCTTAGAGTAAGTTTTTATGCAGTGTATGATACCTTTTATTTTGCTTAAATGCTGTTAAATCTTTGCAAAGTATAGACCGCTGTTCGTACCTGGAAAAAAACATGCTATATAATGTTTATGATTTTAACACAACAGTCACAAACTTGTCGTACTAAAAAAAAAAGTTATTGAACATTAACTGAAGTGCTTCAAGATTAACAAAATCTGGCTATTTTAACATGAAATTAGCTCACCTACACTATTTGAACAGTAGAAATAACAGTTTAAAACTTCAGTGATAAGTTAAAGTTTTAAAATTAAAAAAAATAAACCATCGACAAATTAGAGTTTTACATCAATACATTGAAACATTCATCTTCTTTCAATGCTCCATCCTTTTCTTGTGAATTTCTCTTATAGTGTTAATATCACACTTTGCTTTCCTATAGTCATGTTGTACTAATATTAGAATGTACAGCATGTACGTATAGTTTTAGCGTGAGTTGTACTACGCCAATACTGTAACTTGAAAGAGTTAAATATTTTTTTTATTAGTTACTTCCCATCTAAATATTTTTAAATACATATGGGAAACCATTTTGAACTATTATATCAACATTATATAAAACCGATACACCAGTTGTAGTAAAACAATGTTGTAAATCCTTGTTCATTGTATGTATTATTCTTGTAACAAAAAAATATTTAAAATGTAGCAATCTTTCTAGTGCTAATAGTTTATTACACCAAGCAAGCCTTTGATATCTAAGTAGTTGGCAGCCAAAATCAACCCAAACAAAGTGCCCTGGTCAACTTTAAGAAATGCTGGATCCCAGAAGCAAACATCATCTGTTCTTTTTTCTTTGTTTTTATCATCTTCAGGTGGTGGAGGGTCATCCCGATGGAAGGTACACCATTGAATTACCTTCTTTAATATAGCAGCATTAACATTAGGTAGTGGAACAGGTTCATCTTCATCCATATCCCTACCCAAATCTTCTAACATGATTTTAACAGTGACAGATTGTTTAGCAATATCAACATTTACGTATTTTACAATTAAATTATATTCAAATGTAAAAGTGTAAATAAAGGACGATTCAATGACAGAAGGGTACTTTTTTTTTTTCTTTTTCAATGTTACATTGTCAGAAAATGTCAACACATGTTTGTTTTTATTTTTTTATTATTATTATTATTTATTTTTACATTGTCAGTTTGCCTTGTCATGTTCGCTTTAGTATTACAGTTTTCATCAACGGCTTGTGAGGACTGATACAGATTAACATTCATAATACTTCCTTCTTACTCTCATTCATTTTAGATGGTTTACATAATACAAAACGCCTAATTACAATTTTGTTTTTAAACGTGAAAATGCAAATGTGTAATTAAATGGTGATTCAATGGGTTCTTTTTATCGCCATGGTGGTTTTAGGGGGTTTGTAGATGAAAGAAATTTGGGATAAAAAAAAAAACATTGTAAATATTATAAGAAGCCGGAATATTTTCAGTACAATCAAACACTTCAAATCAAACATTCTTCATGTTCAAACATATCTATAGCTGTTCTTCCACATGTTTTTAATCAATTTATTTTAAATGTATTGATGATATAGAAATACATAAATACGTTTTTTTTTTGTACCAGCCAACAACCTAGATGCTGCGAGTTGACGCCAAAGTAGAAAGTTAAAAAAAAAATGTTTACTTTTAAAATGATTTCGATTTGTAAATTTTAAATTACCTGGGGAGACTACACAACAATATACTTAAAATAAGTCTTAACAATAAGTCCTTAAAATATACATTTTATAGATTATACTCAGAGAAACGTGCACAAAATTGTAATTAATATAATTATTAATGGAATTAACTAAATTTAATGATATTTTATAGTATAACAATTTTTATACTTTAAAACAAATAGAATTTTTTCTTAAATAAAAAAGTTAAAGCCTATAGTTTTAAAAGGTAAAATAGAATTTATTAAAGACAAATTACATTAAACAGGGTTTGGTCTAACTCAGGGGTCGGCAACCTGCGGCTCGCGAGCCGCATGCGGCTCTTTTGATATCAAGATGCGGCTCTCCAGCTCCTTACACAAATACTAATAATCTTAATAAAAAAATAAAATATTTGAAATAAAAAAAAATGTTAGTGGCTCTTTAAAACCAGGGAAATTTTGAAAATTGTAACTTTTGGCTCTTCCGCTTCAAAAGGTTGCCGACCCCTGGTCTAACTTAGTTTTGGGATTATAAGTGGATAATTGATTCACACACACTATAAATAGTATCACCTCAGCAGGTACATCACACAGGACAGGCTTTGACGCTTGATTTGCCTTAAACACACACAGTCACCCTCTACACGCCTCTTCAGACACATCCACCCCCTCCCCCTCTGTCCACTTCACCCTCAGACATGATAACCCCACATCCCCCTTAATTGTTCCAACGACCCACCACCCACCCCAACATCAATCTCGAATATCTATTCATTTACTTACTTAAAGTTCTAAATCTTGCTTCTTTCCCCTCATCTTTCACACAGCAACCTTTGAAAACTCAATGCGACCCGTATATAAATAAACACTCTTTCAACTGGTTAACACATTTTGTTTCCCTACATAGAAAATGTTTCACTGTCACTTTGACCCCCCCCCCTCTCTTTGAACAATTTCCTTTCCACTCCCCACCTGGAGTCCTGACACTTTCATGTGACCTTCACCCCTATTGCTGTTATCCCTTTCAATTTTTTTATAAACACATACATGACATAATGTAAATATTAATTATGTACATTTGCAAATCCTTTCGCTTTAATAGTTCGAAATTACGACAAAAAAAAAATTGATTTGATGTAGCCTACCTGTTTTAATTGCAAATAAAAGTATTATAAAAAAATATCAAACGAAAAAAAAAATATGTTGGCAAATTATGTACAGATATAGACTAGATCTAGTCGCGTTTTCCTAACAAAGGTTTTAGTTACTTTCTGCGCAAAGTGTCCAAGTTGATAGTTTTGCTTTTTCGATTTTCTGTTGTTTTTCCTTTTCTTCTTGTATTTACTAATGTACAAACTGTAATGACATTAATGCAAATAAATTATGTATTGAATATTCTACTATGTTAATATGTTACCACATATATGTTTGATGCTAATTGTTTTAATTGCAAATAAAAAAAAAATCATCTAAAATAGTTCCATTTCCTTTACAATAGATAAAAGTGTATAATTTAGCATAGGTCTAGAATATATGGAGCTTAATCAGTCGTAAAATGAGTTGTGAGTCTATGTCTCTCTTGCTTAAAATTCATAATGACGATAGCCAAGAAAAAATATTAATTTCGAACTAAATTTAATTCTTGTGAACATGATTCCCATTGATACAAAAACAAGGCGGCTTTTTGTTTTTAGGCTTGGCTTCACGAATTTAAAATATCAAGATTACCAAAAATGCAACAATTACACATAAAATAATATAATCATACGATAATAACAACTCGAATTAAGTACCGGTAGGCCTAAAATAACAATAACATTACTCTAATATTTTAAATACGCTTACGATAACTTGTTCCAATTCATAATATAATGTATGCTACTTTAAAAAAATAACTTTTTAACGTAGGCTCTATTTTTATTTCAGTTAACCTACGTCTTGTAGTGTATTATCATTATTGTTTACAGTTTTAAATAAATCAACAATAGCGAAAATAAATTAATCGCTTTTTGTTTTATTTTATCGATTTAATAAAGATATTCAAATGTTGTTTGAAAAGTACGAGAACGAGAAATTAAGGACCTACTACTAACCCTATTCTGACTCAAGTGTCATGGACTTTTAAGTTTAGTCAACCAATCATCCCGTAACACGATCAATGTTTGGTGGTGCGTGCGTGTGGTGGGTGGGGGGGGGGGGGGTCATTAAGGGATCAAATGAAATAGTTTTCATATTTTGTCCTGTTATCGATTTTGATTTTTGATGCTTTTAAAAATGTTGTAATGGCCAGCCGAGTCCATTCCTAGAAATCCTCCATCAACATTGGTCAATGCCTTCCTCGTATCCTCTCTTCTGTTACATGAAGGTTTTCGATACACGGTTATACACAAATGTATAACACTTTATTCCTGAAACAATGTAATCAACTGACAAAACACCCCCTCCCCCTCATCACAAACCGTCACAGAATTACGGACCCTCCCCTCTCCCCTACGAGTGTGACGTCATGTATGGACGACCGCTAATTAAAACACATTTTGTTATTTAAATGTACACGGCCTTAGGGCTAGTATGTAGGTCATTTACGTCTCGTTCTTGTACTTGCCAGCTAGTACTTTTCAAACCAAATGTGATTTTGTTTTATTAACCCCTTAACACCGGAATTATGTTCCAAGCGTGCAAAAAATTAGTTGTACTGATTATTATATATAAAAGTTGTTGCCTACTTTTGTGCTAATGCAGTATTAAAAATAATTAATTATTGTATTTACTTAATGTTTTTAATAAACTGATAAAAATACATATTTTTAATATGAATATAGCAAACTACTTTTTGTATTTAGCATTATAATATGTTTCAGATAATTATGCCATACATTATTACACACATTTGCAAACCTAAAAGATTACCTTAAAGACAACTTCCATTTCAATTCTGATGCTTCTGAACACTATAACGTTCAATGTTTTAAATAAAGCAAAGTATTATACTTAGCTTCCTTTATTTCCTAACATCGATTGCAGTGTAATACCCAGCATTCGTTACATTCCTAACCTAGGTTACCCAGCCGCCTTTATTTCCTAACGAGGGTGATATCACTATGTCCAGCTGGCCATGGTTAGGTACCCATCAAAGCTGGATGGACTCAAGTCTTACTCGAACTCGGATTCGAACTCGAGGCTAGTGCACTAACGCTTAATCACGCCAACCTTGTACACATTCGAATAAAATAAAAATAGAATAGTAGAATAGACGATACAATACGATATGATTAGGATAATCTGTGGATTATGATAGAATTAGAATTTAAAGATGTAAAGTGTTTTATTATTTCAACCACACCTCCATCTAGTTTATATACCGATGTAGATCTCCACTAATCACTTCAAATATTTTATACAACACAAAAGCTAACCACTTCAAATATGTTATACAACACAACAGCTAACCACTTCAAATATTGTATACAACACAAAAGCTAACAAATACATGCAGATTGTACTGATCAATTGTATTTTCTATGGTAGAGATTTGGTAACAATTTAAACGATGTAAACATTTAAATCCCAGTTTTGTTAAAATACAAATATTAATTATGTTTTCCAATATAATGTGTTACTTAACCCTGCCATCTCGTTCTTGTCACTTAATGTAAACTTAATTTTTTGACTACTTTAGTACACATGCAGTATTTAAATAAAAACGCATTTTTGGGGGTGCCAAAATACATATGAAATTAATATTATTGGACGAAAACTGTTAAAATATATCTCTTCTTTTTTTTTTTTAATAATAATTATTTTATTAGCTTGAAGTTCTAAGATAAACAGATACAATTATATTTTCTAAAATTTGAACATATTAAACTACTTATTTTATACACTTTGACATACATATTAATTGCGATGTATATTAATTTGAAAATAAAACAATCATTTATTTGTTTCTTTATTGTAATTTAATGTGCTTCTATTGTAAATAATTTTTACAACAAAGTTGTAATTTGTTTCCCTTAATTTTACATTTAAAAAAGGAAAGAAAAATGTATTTCTAAATATTTCTATATTCAACACAGCAATATGTTCTAAAAGCTCAAACAATTATACAATACACTAATAAGCACATTTGCGAAACCTACAAGATTACCTTAAAGGGCTACCAATTCAACTTTGATGCTTGTGGACACTATGACTTTCACATTTTGAAGAGTGAAATCGACAGTTAGAAACTGCAATGATTAGTTAAAATTTAAAAATTAAAAAAAGACATCTCCCAATTAGTAATTTTAAACAAAAACATCTTCTTTCAATAATCCACCCTTTCCTTGTGAAATGTCTTTTATATCTTATTTCTTATAGTGTAAATACCACACTTTGCTTTCCTATAGTCATGTTGTAATAATATTAGAATGTACAGCATGTACGTATAGCTTTAGTGTGAGTAGTACGACAGCAATGTTGTAACTGGCTAAAGTTTAATACGTTTTTAATAAGCTACTTCCCATCTCAATAATTTATAATACATATGGGAAACAACTTTTAACTATTATAACAAAATAAAATAAAATCAATAGCCGAGTTGTAATAAAACAA